CTGCACTCTAGTCTGGGTAACAGAGCAAGATTCTGTCTAAAAAAAAAAAAAAGAATTCTTACAACTCAACATGAAAAAGACAACCTAATAGACATTTGGACAAAAGACATGAACAGGCACTTTGGAAAAGAGAAAACTTGAATGGCCAATAAAGATCTGAAATGATGCTCAAGCTCACTGCTGATCTGTTAGTAAAATCAGGATCACAGTGAGATACCCATTAAAACTAGTATACCGTCAAAAATTAAGAAACATTGAGCATGTAGAATAGAAGCTCGGATACACTGCTGCTGGGAGTGAGAAGGGACATGCCGTCTTGGAAAGTAATTTGACGTTATCTCATAAAGTTGAACTTAGACCCTGTGAGCCAGCAATTCCATTTCTAGGTAAAAGGCCTTAGAGAGACTTTTCAAACACTTACATCAGGAGACATTTATGACAATATTCAAAGCAACGGTATTTAAAATTTCAAATATAAAACCAGGGAACAACAAAGTCTAGAAGACTATATATAACATAATACTATTTGTATAAAGCTCAAAAATCAGCAAAAATAAACATTATATTGTTTTGGCCAATGTGGATATGTGGTAGTGAAACTCCTTTTTATAAAGAAAGAAAAGGAATGAAAAAATGATAATTACAACAATCAAGATGACATTAGTTACTTCTGGGGCAAAGCTATGGAGACAGGAACAGCAGGGACACACAGGGAGCTTGAATGTTCTGGTTCCTAGGTGTTGGGTGGTTCATTTTATTATTAAGCCTTCCTATACCTTATACATATATTGTATGTATCATATAATACCCATTCTCAATTTAGAAAAACCTGGGTGCAAAATGGGATTTGTGAATAATATCTTTCTTCATGCAAAATATTTTCAATATAACATTAAACAAGAATTGAAAGAATTTAGTTTTTCTCTGTCTCTAAAGCCAGCAAATAGTGGATTATTTTCTATTGTTCCAATGACTACAATAATAGCAGAGGCCAAGGAAACATCTTTTGTATAAGAGTTGACATGGAATCAGATTTGTTGTAAAGAAACCATTTATAATTCTGGACTGTCTACCAGAAGAAGCAAAACAAAGACAACATACACATATATAAAATCAAGAAAATTTTTCTATATCCCACAATAATCACCAAGAAAATAACTATCAAAAGATTCAAAACAGCCACAATAACCATTCATAATTTTATTGAAGACTCATTCACAGGATTTTGACCCGAGAAATGGATTATAACACACACCTTCAGGAACCCACATTGATCCTACTCAAGGACCCCCTAGTCCCATCTCCAGGCTTCAAGACAGTTGTGATTTCATCGCACCCCAGACACTTGGTTCGCAAATGGAGCCAGGCCTCAGACTGTCCTCAGCTACCACTCTCGGGCAGCTGATGACAGACACTGGCCTCCACATCCATTAGCCCCGCCGCTGTCTAATGCATTCCAACCACAAAATGGGCCCTCACTTCGTTCCTAGCCCAGCTCCATCTTCATAAACTGTGACAGACAGCAGTCCCCAAGGGTACAAAATATTTTCCTTCCAGATGATTTTCAAGGAAAGAGGGGAAAAAGGAACATATGGAGCTTCTATGGCTGAAATAACTTATCTGCAGATGGGCTCTGTCTAGCCACTGATCAATTCGTTATGCTGCAGTGACTGAAATCTGTGATTCTGTCCAAAGGCAGCAAGAACCAGTGTGTCCATCTGAAGGTAATCAGGACTCTTGTCACTAAACTAAACTGGTACTTTAGGCAGTAACTATAATAAACTGGTACTTTTTAGAACTACCTCAGATTCAGTGAAATTTCCCACTTTCTGAAATACTTTCACAGATTCTATGCTGGTCTCTTAAGACTGGAAAGTAGGGAAAAGAAAAATATCAAAATTAAAGTGACAAGCTAATCAATGGAGCTGACTACTAGGAGAAAAATAGGAAATTTTTATGATCCCAAAAGGAAAAAAAAAAAAAAGCATTTGGGGTAGAAAATCATGAGTGGCAGTAGCACAAAATCACGCCTTCAGCCTTGCCTGTGCCTGGCAGCATACTAGTAGCATTAGCACAACCTCAAGTAGAGCCCAGAGGGGTTAAATTCACTTGAAATTTCACTCAAAATTTTCCCAGGGCTAGTTTTTAAGAGCAGCTGCACCTTTGTCAGCCAGAATTTTTTAAGGAGGCAAGAGGGTTAGGTGTAAATCCTGGGAGGTCAGATGACATCAGAGCTACTTCCCATTCCAGGTAGCCCTGGGAGCAAAAGTCAGTGGGTTTTTGTCTTCCTTTGAGCTCTGCTGATTCCTGCTAGTTTTGAGGTTTAAAGGATATTCTGGAGCATATGCTCTCCAGCAGCACTTCCTACCCTCTTTAAGCCGAAAAAAGACCTCTAACAATGCTGAGGCTATCTTTTAAGTGCTCCTAAGACAACTTCAACACAGCTTTGGGCAAGGGACGCAAAGCCTCAGAGAAACCATAAAACAATCCATATGGCACCATAATATTGTTTTGTTCTGGGAATTCTGCCCTTAGATAAAACCACACAGTCATGAATACATAAACAAGCACTTTCTGAGCCATCTAACAAAGATGAGCTCTGCTGCAGAAGAGCGAACCTCAGCCCAGGGGAAAAGGGGGGAAAGCGGCAGAGCAAACCACGGCAAATGCCCCGCCTGACACTGACGGCAGTGCGAATCTCACTGCTCAGAGTTCCCGGTGGAAAACAGACCTTGTTTGTAACGGTCTCATCCTGAAGAGCTACACAGCAAATGCTCTGCAAACAGATACCAGGCCATACTGGCTAAATGGTTAGAATAGCCAGTGACATCTAAATTTTGGACAGTAAGGCTTCTAAAGACTTTAAGAGAAGAAACGGGATCCAGGCTGAGACAAAGAGTCTCTGAAGACATCTGACCTGGACAGGCTGCCATCTCTTACGATTATTTCCTGTGTGGCTGTGAAAGTTAATGGGATAAAGCCCTCGCTGTCAGCAGAGAGAAGGATCCAGTGGGAGTCTGCAAAGTAAAATAAATGCAAAGGCAGTTTAGGATATCTTATCTTATTCTATAAAGAAAAATATGACTACAAATATGCTTGGGTTTTTTTTGAGACAGGGTCTCGCTCTGTTGCTCAGGCTGGAGCTCATAGCTCACTGCAACCTCCAACTCCTGGGCTCAAGCGATCCTCTGACAGCCTCCCAAGTAGCTAGGACTACAGGCGCATGCCACCCCACCAGCTAATTTTTGAAATTTTTTGTAGAGACGGGGTCTCTCCATGTTGCCCAGGCTGGTCTCGAACACTTGACCTTAAGCAATCCTCCCTTCTAAGCCTTCCAAAGCACTGGGATGACAGGTGTGAGCCACTTCGCCAGGCCAGAATGTTGTATTATTATATATTTTTTTTAGTACAGGAATCCAGTAGTTGATGATATTGAAGCTGATCCTTATAAGATTTTATAGAAAGTGGGTAGATGGAAGAACTAAGTATTCTATCACTGGCTATTCGGGTCAGGTTATATGGCAGGAAGGGGATGCTGATGACTTATACCCACTCAAAGTTGGTCACTTAGGCACAGCTAAGGGACATAACATTTTCACCCAAGGTAGGCATTTATCACTTAGTGCTAAGCATACAAGCTTGTGAGTGCATGTGTGCACACATGCATTAGGGGTTGTGTGTGGAGGGTCCCTACCTTATCTATATGCTGTTCACCAGTTTCTCCAGAAACAATGTGGAGTTGGGAATGGCTACTCTATGGAGGAATATTTGATATTTTGTAGATCCACACCAACCTTTAGACACCAAGGAGACTAAGCTGACTAGAGCTAGACTAGAGTGGCCCAGATAATCCTGAATGGTTTGTTCCATGGTAACCAAGGGGCCGCTAGCATAACACATGCTTGGACCTTCTCTTGTTCAAGTCTAGTATGTGTCACCTTTTGACCCTGTGATTTCACTTCTAAACTCTACACTCCCAATAATAACATATAAAATATGCAGAGAGGCCGGGCGTGGTGGCTCACGCCTGTAATCCTAGCATTCTGGGAGGCCGAGGCAGGCGGATTGTTTGAGCTCAGGAGTTCGAAACCAGCCTGAGCAAGAGCGAGATCCCATCTCTACTAAAAATAGAAAGAAATTAATCGGACAACTAAAAATATAGAAAAAATTAGCCAGGCATGGTGGCGCATGCCTGTAGTCCCAGCTACTCGGGAGGCTGAAGCAGGAGGATCGCTTGAGCCCAGGAGTTTGAGGTTGCTGTGAGCTAGGCTGACGCCACGGCACTCTAGCCCGGGCAACACAGTGAGACTCTGTCTCAAAAAAAAAAAAAAAAAATATGCAGAGAAATGTTTTTAGTGTTATTTATAATGGTGAAAAACTGGAAACAATTTTAATGTCAAAGAAAATATGGCAAAGTAAAATATGGTACACCCCAGAATGGAATATTAACCCCACCCATTAAAAATGACAATTATGAGGTATGGTGGCTCAAGCCTATAGTCCCAGCTACTCAGGAGATTGAGGTGGGAGGATTACTTGAGCCCAGGAGTTCGAGTCCAGCCCAGGCATCATACTGAGACCCCATCTCTTACCAAAAAAAAAGACTTTTTAAAAAGTAAAAATGACAATTATGAAACCATATCAAAAATGCATGTGTCGGCTAGGTGTGGTGGCTCACGCCTATAATCCTAGCACTCTGGGAGGCCAATGCAGAAGGATTGCTTGAGTTTAGGAGTTTGAGACCAGCCTGAGCAAGAGATAAACCCTGTTAGCCAGGTGTGGTGGTGCATGCCTGTAGTACCAGCTACTCAGGAGGCTGAGGAAGGAGGATTGCTTGAACCTAGGAGTTTGAAGTTGTAGTGAGCTACAATGAGGCCACTGCACTCTAGCTGGGTAACAGTTAAAAAAAAAAAGCATGTGTCAAAAAAGAAATATGCTAATGATGCAATGTTAAGGGGAAAAAGTAAAACAATATTTTATGTCCAACATGGTGGCTACTGTTAAATGAGGCATAAGAAAATCGCCATGAAGGCTGGGCAAGGTGGCTCACACCTCTAATGCCAGCACTTTGTGAGGCTGAGGTAGGAGGACTGCTTGAGCTCAGTAGTTCAAGACCAGCCTGAGCCAAGACTAAGACCCTGTCTATACTAAAATTAGAAAAATTAGCCAGATGTGGTGGTGTTCGTCTGTAGTCCCAGCTACCCAGGAGGCTGAGGCAAGAGAATCACCTGAGCCCAGGAGTTTGAGGGTGCAGTGAGCTACAATGATGCTACTGCACTCTACCTCGGGTGACAGAGTTAGACTCTGTCTCAAAAAAGAAAAAAGGAAAAAAAAGAAAAAAGAAAACCACCATGCTCCACATCTGACCAACCTGGGCATGACTCAGTCTCTTGCCATGTGGGAGTCTCCTTCACAGACCCATGTTTGTTCTACAACAGAATGACAACTCCTTAAGAGATATTCTGCAAATGCTGCTATGATCTTAATGTTTTAGTGCAAAAGAAATACGTAAGGTTTTTATGTTATTTCCTTTCGGTTGTCATATATATATTGCTTTGTAACTCTTTTCTACTTTTTTCATGTGAACACTGAATTTTTCCAGCTAGGCTGTAAGCTCCCTAGGGGCAGAACCCATATTTTCCATGTTTTGGCAGCTTTCATAGGCCTGGGTATACAGTAAGCAATTAATAATACTTGTTAGCTATCCATTGAATCACTGAATGGTTGATATCCCTCACTTTCATTATCAGTGGAAGTTAAAATAGAAAAGGGTGGGAAGAATATTGCACAGGGTTATTTTTTGAATTTAACCTACCATGCAGCATTTCAATGAGAGAGAGGCCAAAAGTCTGCTGAACCATACCGAGCCTTAGTTTGCCATCGCAGAGAAGCAACGCTCTTTTTTCAACAACAGGACCTACATAATGAGGTTTCTTCAAACAAAAAACAAAAGTTATTAAACTGATTGCAGAAGCAATGGAGTTAAAATTTGTTAAGGATAGCATGTGAAAATTGTTTGTTTGTTTATTTATTTATTTATTTTTGAGGCAGAGTCTTGCTCTGTCGCCCCAGGTAGAATGCAGTGGCATCGTCACAGCTCACTGCAACCTCAAACTCCTGGGCTCAAGTGATCCTCCTGCCTCAGCCTCCTGAGTAGCTGGGACTACCTGGCTCATTTATTTTAATTCTTATGAAATGTAACTTCTAAAATTATAGGAGAAACTAGTCTTTGCTTTGGATTATTTTGCTTTTTTATGTTAACTTTTCTCATTACAAAAGTAACATGATCTATATGAAAAAAGTAAAACGGAAATTTATAATATGGAAAATAAAGTTCTCAAAATTCTACCCTCCAGAGATTAACTACTGATAACAGCTTCGTTGGATTATGTCATTATAAATTAAGAAACTGAGGAATTGAAAAGGCAAGAAAACATATTTCTTTTAACTCTAATTTTAAGAATACACTATTTTTATATTTACAAATGTTTTAAAAATAGAAAGGCTGGGCGAGACTCTGTCTCAAAAAATTAGAAAGATATATTTGATAAAATAATCTGTTTTAATAATCTAACAGTGATTCCAACATTCTAGGGACAATTTGGGGAATTTGAATATGGACTAGGTATTAGATGGTATTAAGTAATTATTTTTAATGTTATTAGGTATGATAATACTATTGTGGTTATTAAAGAAAATGTGCTTACATTTTAGAACAGTATCCTGAAATATTTAAGGGTGAAATACCATGATGTTTTTATCTAAAATACTTTAGAAAATAGAACAACACAAAAAGAAATTATGGCAAAATGTTAACAACTGTTAAATACAGTGATATACAAATATAGGGTTTCAATATACATATAGTCTTTC